CCCAGCTAAGTTCTCTGGCCTGGGAGGGGATCAAAGCAAACTCTTCCATTGTCCCCAAAGGAAGGACCATATCTGCAAAACTCAAGGCGTTCGGCCAAAGAACAGGGCTCTTACTCTCTTATAATCTGGGGACAAGGCAAGTTGTCTCAAGTTGTGAGAGTGAGGACAGAAGGAAAACTGGAACAAGAGAGACTGGAGTAAAGAGGGGAAGCAAGGGAAGGACGGAAACTGAAAACGCTGATGCCAGTGATGACCACATCCTGATGTGGGGCAACCCTTTCCTTCAGAGTTACCTTGCAGGTGTCCATTTGTCTCTGTCGAGGTAAACGCTTCATGATTTTTCTATCTTTCCATTAGAACTATATGGATGGTTATGCTGATTTGATAGAGTAATCTGAAGAGTGTGTAAAGCTTTTAATATGTCATAGTATCCTGGCCTTAGATTGAAATTGAAAGAGCATTCCTTTCTATTCCCAGCGTCTTTTCTCTTTCCCTTTCAGTGCTCTTCCCTCTTTGGTTTTCTCATGACTCTTTTTGAAATTCTGTTTCCCCAGGACAATAACAGACCGTGCCTTCCTCCAGACCCTCCCTTTCCAATCTGGCCAGAAGGGTCGCCGGCGGCCTCAAAGGGAGGAGCTCGATCTGACTCAGCGGTTTGCGGTCGGGCTGTTGTTCTACAACCGGAGAGAGCTTCAGAGGTTTCACTCATACACAGAGACAACCTTCAGAGACATGGTGGCCTCTAAGCAGGCTTTAGTGACAAAACACCTTGAAGGTCTTTCCCATGATGACCTGAGCCCCGCCCAGGTCCTGGAGGCTTGTCGCTATGTTTATGAGGCGAGTTCCTCACATGGTGATGGTAGCAGAGACAGTGGTAGTCAACGATTAGTTGCTCATCTGGCAGAGAACCTTCCAGAGGTCCTGACATTTCACGGAGTTCCTTTTAAGCCATCGGACGTGTTTGCTGTGCAGAACGTTCTCGACCAGGGTGGAGCTGGCGGTAGAAGGTTTTGTTTGAATCTGGAGGATTCTGGGATACAGATTTCGGGACTCAGAGCTCTGTTGGGGCTCAACAACATCAACACATACAGGTACTAGTTTCAATTCACAACTCAAAAAGCTGCTTGGTATCTATTGAGTTTGTTAAAGAGGTCCTATTATGCTTTTTGGTCTTGCCTGTAGTGTTTTATAGAGGTTTTTGTGCATGTGAATGGTCTGCAATGGCTAAAATCCCAAAGGGGGATCTCTTAGCGGTTGACCAACCAACAGAGCCAGCTAACCAATCAGAGCAGACTGGGCTTGGGTTTAAGACAGAGGGTGAAAAGAGGTGCTGCAGCACAGGCAGTACGAGAAAAATAGAGAGCTTTTTGAAAATGAAAGCCTGTAAACCTGTAACAGTGGAGGCACCAAATATGAACCTGAAAATAAGCATAATAAGTCCTCTTCAAACCCTTTCCCCAATCATAGTTTAACAACCCTAATTAAGGTAGGGCCCCTTTGTCAAGCTTTGGATTATTCCAATATTCAAATCTGTAGTATTAACATTCAAAGTGTTTAGGCTGCGGTGGTCGTTTTAATGTATGGCTATTAAGTTTACTAGCTCAAGCAGGATACGTGTAACTTCCAAGGCCAAGGAGCACTTTGTTTACTAACTCACGAGCAATGTATTATTTCTGTCTGATGTCATTCCATTGATACAATTGTCAACCCTTGGGTGTCTTCTAGGGCATGCATTGCTGATGTGATCACCTTATGGGAGCAGCTAGAGCAGAGCGGTGAAGAAGCGCTCCTACAAGTGACGGTGTCCAAATTCATGGTCCACCCTCTGAAAGCCACACAAGTGTGTCACATAGAGCACCTGGCAAAGCTGGTGAACATACATGTGCACAAGAGGCTGTCAGACAGGTAATGCAACACAAACACACACACACACACACACACACACACACACACACACACACACACACACACACACACACACACACACACACACACACACACACACACACACACACACACACACTTTGGGGAAACATCAGTGAGGACATACTGGAACTAGAAGAAACCACTTCTCAGATGTAGATCTCAAAGTTGCACCAAAGCGCAGATAGGCCCACAGGAAGCAGCTGGTAAACGATAAGATGCTGAGCAGAGACCTTTTCACTGACTAACAGTAAATATAGCGAGAATACGTTAACATAGCAACAATAACCACCAACTCTGACGATAAAAATAGCTACAGTAGAATGACCATATTTCTGAAAAATAATAAAAAAAGGTACTTAACTTCAGCGGTGCATACAGTATGTGCTGAAGTTTATATTGCACTTACTAAAAAGGTCCATGTCCCACACACACACACACACACACACACACACACACACACACACACACACACACACACACACACACACACACACACACACTTTGCAACAGACAATCAATATGTATCTGGTGGTTGAAGTGTGTGTTGTGTTTACTTGTAGTTCCAGCCAATCCGATTCAATCCTGGCAGAGGGGGTACCAGCAGTGAAAGCGCTACACAAGCTAGAGTTGGAGTAAGTAGTAATAAGCAACATTTGATAATTAAATTAGTGACAATGATTACCATGAAAAAGATGATGATATTGATGATTTCCTCCAGGCTTGGTCCAGAGAAAGGTCCCCTGGTTCTTCCCAAGCTATGGGAGCTCCTGCCAGGTCTTCATAACCTACAGCACTTAGAGTAAATATACAAATGTTGACTTCTAATTCTCTCTCAGTGCTTCTATATCTGTTTAATGTTTTCTTTCCCTGTGCCTAAGAGTAACTTTACTTTTCTTTCAGTCTAGAGAACAGTACGATTGGGGACAAAGGAGCAGAGGAATTGGCGGATACTTTAGTCTCACTTGGGTCCCTGGAGATTCTCAAGTGAGTTTACCATGTTCCCTCTCATCCTGTTCATCAGAATAAATAATGATGTACAGTATGTGTGTTGTACTAACTGTTTAACCTCTCATTCTAGTTTGTCACAGAATTGCATAGGAGACCAGGGGGTGAGGAAACTGGCAACTGTGCTGAGGGATCTTCCCAAACTGCACTGTTTAAGGTATATAACACACATATACCTTGACAACAACACCCACAGTGGCACATACGATAAACCCACTTCATTTCACTTCCCCTTTATTTGTTTCCAGTCTCTACAGTAATGTGATTTGTGACGAAGGGGCAGAGACTCTGGCTGCTGTCCTCCCACACATGGCTTCGCTCACTGACCTGGAGTAAGACCATAAATGTCACATTTACAATAATTCTACTGTATAGTTATTTTGTACTGATTATAAATTACGTTAAACCTCCAAAAGACATACATTGAAACACGTGTCACATTTTCCTTAGACATTAATAACGTGTTGTTCTCTCCTTATACTTTATCTAATGAAACACAGCATTAACCCAATTAATTTGATTCATTATGGAAAACATGTACGTATTTAATGAACTAAACAAACTTTTTATCAAACATTGAACAGACATATATTTAAAAAAAAGGTGTTACACACATTCACCAAAAAAGGAACTAGTAAAAAATATGGTATAGTGACAGAAAGATGTGTTGTATAAGGATGTATCACTATCTGAACATACAGTAGTGTACAATGTTGCAAGATTCAATGTGTTAAACAGTTTTTTTTCTGTTTGACAGTGTCAAGTACAACAAGCTAACAAGTGTTGGAGCACAGAGCCTGGGAGCCAGTCTGAGAAACTGTAGAAAAATAAAGACCTTGAGGTGAAAAACCCCTTGCTACACAACACAAAACTAAATTTGTATTTTCTTTGCATGTCATCCAGCATCATAATATCTATTTCTATCACAGGATGTGGAACCAGTGTATTCCTTACGGTGTGTTTGAGAGACTTCAGCAGCAGGACAACAGGATCCAGTGGCAGTAGAACAATATGAAACCTCTACACACATCCTCACATGTTTACACTTCACACTACATTTTATACTGCCTGTGTGTTTAAGAAAAAAGGAACAAAGACAGTGAGAGAAAGCTCACTATCACAAACCAAAAATAATTCTTTGGTGCTTTATTCAATAGTTCTCCTTGTCAGATATTTTTAAAGATTCCCCTGAGTGCTTCATCCTTCGGTGTTGCATGTGTTTACTGTATAGGTGTGTTGTTTGGCTAGGTACACATTCAAGAAGCACTTTTGCACTATATGAGATCTGATTTTATGCAACCATAATCTTTTCTTATTTTTATAAATAAACGTACACTGTTTTTTCGTTTAACTTTTTTCTGAATTCAACAGTATATTATTAACCTGTTTTCACTTCCTTCCCAAAAGGTTTCTGTTCTCTTTTTTTTATGCAAGCTAACTTTTACTGTCTTATAGTGTCTGAAAATCTGCGTAGTTGATGTTATTATTTTATTTGCATTAATAAATGGACACTTACTGACGTGTGCTGATGTGATACACTGTAGTTACCTTTTGTTGCTGACTGTCAAACCTTGTTCTATATCTGTATAGGTTGTTGTGATGCAGCAAGAGCCTCAGATAACCTGACTTGTAGTCACAAATATGGGTCAAGGCCCCAAGACACTGGATCCTTAATTTCCCATAATGCAACAAGACAATCAGTGGTCACCTTCAGGAATATTTATTGTGAAAACCAAATATTTGTGGATCTAAAGTTGAGTTTTTCCCAATGATGTCAAACAGACAGCAGCTTAATGTAACATGTTAGAATATAAATAGAAAGCCTTCATGTTTGGTTAATGTATAAATGAGTAAATTAATGTTTCTGTACTTTGTTGTTGATTTGTTAAACATTGTTATGTTCCACCATGCTCCTTTTTTCCACTGATGCACTCTTGTGGACAAAATGTAAAGTGACACAATAAAAGCACATGGGACAAAGTAAACAGTCTGACATCAACATGTCCATTCTTCTGTAAAATAATCAACAAACACACATGATATTACAGTTGAAGGAAGAGGCAGAAAAGTTGGCATTCGCTCAGTTTATTAAATACACGTTGGAAAATAAAACTCTGTTACAATCCAAAGCTTATTATAGCATGTGCATGTCTTTATAGAAGCAGACGTGGAGGGTAAAGGCTGTATGATCACAGTCCTTGTGGAGTCTCACAGGGTTCTACTAAACTAACATTTGAGCAGAGTTGATCAGTGTGTTATCATGCCTTGGAAACGGCACAGTGCAACTACCACTAATGATTTATTAACAGTTGACATACAAAAGTAGATCCTCCCAATGTAACAGCTTCACTTGCAATTGATTGTTAAAATATAGGGAGTCTTTAATATTTGATGTACCTAACTCATTGTACTGATAACAGCCTGTTAAAGCCCTCTACCTCCAGCATGATGTGGTTTGATTTCACGATTCATATATTTTACAATATTAAATAAATATTAGTATCCTGAGCTTTAGTGTAACGTGAACTAAATGCTGTTGCAGATTAATTATTATCCGGAAATATACCGATTTATGCAATTTGATGAAATGTCTCGCAGACTGTTTTGAATTGAGACAGTAAGGCAATTCATTTCATTCATTTGAGTAAGAAACGTAGATGAGCAAATATTTAGTTTTTTGTCTCTAGATCTTTAGTTATTTGGTTGACAACAAACTTCCCTTATTCTGTGGAAAACAACCTAATTTCTGAGTATAACGACTACTGGCACAATTTGCTCATTCTGGCAGACAGCAGTCATGTGCTGAGGAAATACTGATTTATTGCCTCAAAAATCAATGTGCAGTTAATAGGCAGGGCTATACGTGCTCTTAACCGACCTACAGTATGTACAGCGCCTCCAAGGCTTACACATATCTAGTAGTGAATTGCTTGAATGTTGTTTATTATTGCTGCCAAGAATATACATTTCTCTTTACTGAATTCATAAATATTCAACATAAAAAAAGTGTAATAAAAGATTATTTTGGGAACTAAACAAATTAAAAAAAACAACACAAATGTCATGCGTTGAGTCTTTTCTGTGTCATTTTGTAACAATAAAACATGGATGCATCAAATAAAAGAGAATAAAGTTGAATATCTGAAGCACTTCTGAGTTTCTCTTTCAGGTGAGGGTTCTGTCTTTGACACGACTCATGCTGATAACAGTTTCACACATTTGGCCAGGGGTTAGCCTCTAATACAAAATTAAACATGTGTGAACCCAATCACTGTGATAAAGCTTATCAGAAGACATACTGTATTACATAAATAACTCTCCCTAGATGCTTTGATACTTTCTGCATTACAGTGAAGAGTGTGGCTATTAGGGTGTTTCTGATTTAAGAAAAAGGCTCTCCTATATCCTTTTTCTTCACTTCAACTTTTACAGCCTGTGTCCAGAGCACCTAACTATGCACCCTGAGAGTCTGTACATGCCTGAAGCAGACAAACAGCATGGATGACCCCAAATTATATATATTTAAATGACGCTTCAAGGATGCTTGAGCCATCAGAGTAGCAATGCTTTGTGTGTTCTGAAAATGTAAAAAGAACATAACTAAAACCAGTTGTACTGTGAAAGAATAAGTATGCAACAGACCTACAGTGGACATTGTTTCCTGCTGTCGGCCAGTTCTTCACACTGTGCAGGACATCACACTGTAACTGTGATGGCAAGTTTTATATTCACTTTCTTCAGCAGTCAGCCACCAGATCTTGCTCATCCTGGGTAATTGTTCACAGCGAGTCACATCCTGCTTCTGTATCTGACCTGGCTGCAATGCAGAGTCATGCTCCACATCTCTGGTGACATTTATATCCACAGAGAACAGCTGTCTTTCTGCTCAGAGCACATTGTGCTTCCTTTTTCCTTTCTTTGTCTCCAATGTGAAGGACACAGATGCCGGTGCCAACTCCATGGTGTCCAACCAGAGTCCATTAGAGTGGCAACAGACGGGCCGACAGCATATCCAGCGCAGGGGGCTCTTAACACGGGACCTTCGCTGATCATGGTGCCGGTGGTGCTGAATCTTCCTCAAGTTACCTTTTCTTGAGCCTAGACAACCTAGTGACACAAAACAAATACAGATCATCAGTTAATCACCACAATGTTTTGAATAGCTTAACTTATAACATAACTAAAAAAGGATGACTTTGGTGTAGTAATACATATTTTTCTATTCTAAGTATCTCCGTTTGACCATTACAACAGAAAAAAAACAAGACAAACATAGTCCAGTGTGTTCTGCTTACTTTTTCACTGATATGTCTTTGTGAGAAAAAGGCATCAACATCATCCGCTTTGAGGCTTTTTCCCCCCTCGATCCTGACCACGCAGTGTTCACGCTGATCCAATCTGCCCTGGACCTCTGCATCATCACCATCAATACTTGAATGTGTTTGTCTTCCTGCAGGACAGCTGTGTCAATCTAGATACCCCTCAAACACATCCAGCTCCGTGTCCGTGTCATACGGGACGGAGGCCGGGTCGGACAGCACCCCGAGGTCCACCAGCGCCTGGTCCATGTCCTCAGGCAGAAATACTATCCCCACATTCAGGACGATGTACTCCATCAGAAAGGCATAATAGAGGATCAGGATGTTCACAAAGAACAGGCCCAGATAAAACATATATGGGAGATCGTTCAACAGCGATTCTAACGAATCTAGCTCGGCATAAATTGGATGTTTCATAGAAAATAAATAGAGCCACAGTTTGGGTTCTTGCGAGGCCAGGATGTGATTCACCGTTATAAATCTCTCCGGGGTGATGGGGCTGGGGTGTCCATTTCGGCTCGTCCCGACCTGAAAACAGTGATTGAGAAGCAGTTTTAATTTTATCTTTAAGGTCCAAAAGAAAACGACAACTACACAGCTAGTTTTAGGCTAATAGCTAATGATAACAGGCGTTAGCTAACTCGACATATGCTTGGCATTGTTTTGGGGGGGTTTGCGGAATTCACGCCATGCCAGCTGGCTAAGGCTAAAAACAGTAGCATGCAGTGCTAGTGAAACAAACACACTATTATTTCCACAAGGAAAGTTATTTGGAGTTTTCTTTTACACAAATATTTACCTAGAATTACAAAACATTCACAAATACCCGCTTCTGTCGACGTTTTTACAGCTAACCGTCCCTTCTAACATTTTAGCCGACTGCATCAAAACAGTCCTGATCACAAAGAGATACCTCGGCAGGTGATTGGCTCGCTGCTTTTCTGGCTCTGCTGTGATTGGTTGTCGCGTTCTTTATTCGTCAAGGCTAGAACAGGAAGTGAATGTTGTAGTTTTCCTCCGCTCGCCCTTGTATGCTGTATCAAGCGTCTCTGGTAGAAAGAGAACAGCAACCCCCAGACTAACCATCCACCAACCTGTTACGTAATGATCCCTCATCGCCGCTATCGCCGCCTATCACCTTCTGTTTGCTAAGTAGCTATCTGTACGGGGAAAGTGGGTGTAATGGGTATATGCGGACACTAACGTTAGCAAAATAACGCTCCTGTCAGAACATCACATCCCTTAAAACCACAACCATGTTCGGCCGGTCACGGAGCTGGGTTGGAGGACAGGGGAAAACGAAAAACATCCATTCCTTGGACCATTTGAAGTGAGTAGCTAGCAAAAAAAATAGGCTAACGTTAGCTTCTATGATTTATAAGCGGTTGAGAAGAACATTAGCTATGTTGTCAACAGTTAAAATAACTGTTATAGCTGTCCAGTTATATATTTTAACATACATTTGCTACGTCGTTTCCTTTCTGTTTGGCTAGGTAGATAAGCATGTGAGCTAACGTTAGCTTTAGGGTTAAAAATCTACCCTAAAACCGAATTGAAACTAACGTTACTACTATGCTGGTTTTGGACAATAAAGTCTGTCTCGTGCATTAACTGTCCGTACAAACTGTAGTATCGAGTTTTTGAACGTCTGCACAGGTGTTTCACTTGTTCGGGCTGATTAGCTTTACATTTTCTCAGGTTGAGGGGAGTTTAAACCAATAAGAGTTGCTGAAATAGAAATTGCCCCATCACAACAGGTAAAACAAATTAACCGTTAATGAGGTTAGTCTGCAACACACCCACAAAAGCAGCAATTAGGCAAAAATAAGTATACACCTGTCATGGTGTAGAATATATACTTACATTTGGTGGTTATTACATACATATTACAAATATTTGGAGATGAGCAGTTGGCTACAAATACGTTTCTATTTCTACATGGGCTGTTTCATTATTCATTATTCAGCTTCCAGTTGCTGTATGTCTTTATTACTGCTGTCTGTCTTTCTGCTGTTAAGTTAAGAGATGTGCTTTAACCAGTTTATTCTACATATCTTCCCTTTATTCATGTCTCTCCATCAGGTATATGTACCATGTCCTGACAAAAAACACCACAGTGACGGACCACAACCGAAACCTTCTTGTGGAGACCATCCGCTCCATCACAGAGATCCTCATCTGGGGGGACCAGAATGACAGCTCTGTGTTTGAGTAAGTAACCATCGATTTCTTAATGTCAAATCCCACACTGGAAGCTGCTTGGAAAACAATGAGACGGCAATCTATTGATATATGCAAGGTTTGCCAACTGTTTAAACCTTGCCAACTGTTAAAACGTTTTACTTACCTCACAGACATGAATTTGAACAAATGCCCACAGAATGCTCATTTGAATATTGAATCCTTTATCTCCAACATTATAACAAATATAAATACACATTTACGACTCTCACCCCCATCTTTCCCCCATAACAACATGCTGTTCTGCATGTGACACTGGTTATGCTTGCGTATGACTTGAGGCAAGACATTTTGTAAGCCCACTGCAGTTTAGCTCTCAAAACCCACTAAATAATTCCTGTCGTTTCGGGGGACTCAAGCTCATGAAGCCATTGTGTTTCTTTTAAATCAGAAGCAGCTCTGCAGTTTCATGTAATCACTTCTGTATCCGCTTTGCCACCTCTGGCTGTATTTTATGATACAGGAAATGGCTTTGAAGAGCAGAAAAGCCACAGAGGACGTTGAAAGTATTGTTGTGTGATCAGAAGCCCCGACAATAAACATGGACAGGAACAGTCACTTATAATTATCTAGGCTAGTAGCTGTTCAGTATTTTGAAACCATTAGGATTTTATTTCTCACTTTGAATGGAGATGCAGTCTTATTCAAACCGAAGGATAATGATTTACTGGGAAAAACACAACATGTATGGGGCAAAGTACTGAAGAGTTCTCCCTAAATTTAGCAGTCACCCTGGCGTACAATAAACACTTTTTTAAAGTTATAAACTTCAAGGTTTATTCCAGGTGAAATGAGCAGTATACACGTCCAGAATATTGTAATAGTATAGGATAAACATGAAAGTGGAACGCTCAGCTGTCTATTTGCACAAATCTGGCCAAATAATGGAAATCATGAAACAAGTATTAAAGGTGGGGTAGGTAATTCACTTCAGAAACACTTTTTGTTATATTCCATGGAATGCTCTTAACATCCCGATAGCAATGAATACATTAAATGCTTTGACAATAAATACATAACAAAATGTTATGTATTACGGCTGTGGAAGCCGTAGTACTGTAAAAAGCACGACCAATTATAATTAATTATAACTGGATGGCCTACCTGCCTGTCAGCCTTCCATCTCGTGCACAAACTTATCTCGTGCCCTCATTGATCATGTGCGCGTTTGTGTGTGTTGGACGAGGGGCTCTGTAAGGAAGGGGCAGATTTTTTTCGGCTGCGTAGTTTCAAATTCTAGCGCACTCGAGCTGGTTTCTCCATTCTTACCTACCCTACCTTTTAATGTATGATAATTATATTTGAACATCAAGTCATCATGAACTGACCCCTGTCTGTGTTTTTGTGTCCTGTGTCTTCAGCTTCTTCCTGGAGAAGAACATGTTTGCCTTCTTCCTGAACATCCTGCGTCAGAAGTCGGGACGCTACGTGTGCGTCCAACTCCTCCAGACCCTCAACATACTGTTTGAGAACATCAGCCATGAGACTTCCCTCTGTAAGTCTTTGAATCAACACTGGTTACAAAATGAAAGCATATTTGATGTAATGCATCGCAATTAAATAGCCCTAGTACATGTAATACATTTATTTAAATGTTGTACTTTTTGAGACTGCTGCTTTAATTTGTGCTGTTCCTGTTTTGTGGTATTATATTGTACTTATGGTGCTATTTATTTTAGTCTGTATTACAATTGAGCAGTGAAAGAAGCTCAGAATAGTTATAACAAGATTGTTGTTTGGGATTGCCCTAAAATGTGCGTGTAGATGTTTACATATAGTTAACATGCTCTGTGGACTTTACAATGCAAGGCATGTTGTACTGCCTGTCTTTGTTGAAATGCACAATGAATAGCAGCCTTCTGCATTTTTGGTTGTTGCTAGGCAACTAAATACTAAGCACATACTGTCATTTATACAGTGGGCTGTTATATTATATAAAGTAAGCAAGGTTTTTATTTATGTCTCAAAAGGAATTGAGTCTTAAATGATTTGCACTGTACACAACTGTCCCTGTGTCTGTCCGATGGCACTTCTGACCTCATAATCGTTGAGTAAAAATTAAGCTTTTGCTGTTTTAGTGTTCTCTTGTACAACCACCAAATGCCTTTATGGAAAATTGATAAATGGATGGTAAAAAGATTGTCACATCAGCATTTCAACATTCCACATAAGGCTTTCCTTAAAGCTATGAACAAGCCTGATCAAGTGTCTTCTCTTCTCAGATTACCTGTTATCTAACAACCATGTGAACTCCATCATCGTCCACAAGTTTGACTTCTCAGACGAGGAGATCATGGCCTACTACATCTCCTTTCTCAAGACCCTGTCACTGAAACTCAACACCCACACCGTGCACTTCTTCTACAATGAGGTGAGTCCTTAGACAGATGGGCGGGATCTGAGGGAAATAAGAGGGACTGAATGAAAAGACAGTCATGGAGGAATCTTAAAGGATGTCACCTTTATCATGTGCTTATTAAGAAAGGGAGAGAGAGATGAACGATTAGAGACTGACAATTGAGGGAGTGAAAGATGGAAGAAATTAGTAACGGCAGCTAGGCATATGGAGAGAGAAAAATGAAAGGTTGTTGCTTAAATTCAGCAAATCTGTCTCTTGCATTTTGTGCAAGTTGACCTCAGTTTGTACATATCAGACTACTCCTATCCACCAATCTTCAGCAGGCCGTTTCCCCTGTCAGAGCATCAGCTTCCTGTGTAGATGGGCTGATTTATTGCTCTTTCTCTCCACCAACACTCAAGTATTTAAGTTACCTTCATCTGAGGGTACGAGAATATAATCATTCATGCCTGTTGCTGTGTGTGTCTCTGTGCCTGTGTGGTAATAGATGGTGACACCAAAGTAAACTGACCTCTTGAATAATTTCTGATGACTCTGTTGTAACGTTGTTGCTTGAGCAGTATCTGTAGTCCTTCCACTGGCCTGTGTGTGCGGGGGAAAGTTATTGGTGTACTGTCGATGGTAGCTCTGCCCCTGAGGCTAAAACAAGACCCAACGTGTAGCTCTGACAGTATTTATGCACACAGTTAGATTACCTTAAACATAGGTATTTTAGTTTAAATGTTTACTTAACTGTATCTTATTTACAGTTAACAAACTAAAGTAAAACCTGCATCTTTGTAATGCAAAGGAAAATATTTATTTTTGTAACGCCTCTGGATTTAGAGTTTTAGGTAACTTAACTGACATTTAGTCTGTCTGAAAGCAACTCATATACATCTTTTCAAAGTGTACGATTGTCCTGTTTATTACTCTCTCATTTAATTTCTTATAATTAAGTATACTTGATTTACAGTTAATTCTCCTCCAGAGGGTGCTATTGGATAGCGCATTAGTTTGGCAGCTTCTGTTTCTCTCAGATCTACACAGTCAGTTACCTTTCAGGTTTGTTTTGGTGTCAGGGGCGTTTGTTGCTGGCCCTCAACTGTGATTGGCTGGAGGTCACAGTGATTGAGGAATGGCTGGGGAGAGGATCAGGCACAGGCACAGAGAGAGATTACTCAAAGTTTCAGAGCAGCCAGTTATTCAGAAATGTGTTGATGCATGCTGTCCATCTAAAGGAATGTTAGATAAGGAGCAAAAGTCAGTTAGTTCATTTTGATCTTATTGAGTGTCTCTGTGTTTCAAGTTG